AAAATGTAAAAGACTGCCAAACAATTTGTATAGAAATTGTCAAATGCGAATCTACTTTGCTGTGTAAACTTTCACTGAAAACACAATAAATGCTTATTAAAAAAAAAAAAGAGAGAGATTATTGGGGATATTGTTGCAAAGTAGCCATCATTTCTTCCTGCCTAGTTTGTGGCCTCTGCAGTATCCCTTAGGCTTCCTGCCTGCAACTGGAGTAGCACTTCTGTGGGTTCATAGCGTAAAGGTGCTCAGTAGGATCAGGTGCAGGTTTCCCAATGCACAACTCCAGGGAACACCACTGTCTTAGTCATCCAGTGCTGCTACAACAGAAATACCACAAGTGGATGGCTTTAACAAAGAGAAATTTATTTCTTCACAGTAAAGTAGGCTAAAAGTCCAAACTCAGGATCAGCTCCAGGTAAAGGCTTTCTCTCTCTGTCAGCCTTCTCATCAATATTTCCCCAGACTAGGAACTTCTCCGCGCAGGGGACCCCAGGTCCAAAGGACACACTCTGCTCCTGGCACTGTTTTCTTGGTGGTATGAGGTCCCCCTGTCTCTCTGCTCACTTCTTTTGTATCTCAAGAGATTGCCTCAGGACACAATCCAATCTTGTAGACTGAGTCCTGCCTTACTAACACAACTGACACCCATCCTCCCTCATTAACATCATAGAGGCAGGATTTACAACGTATAGGAAAATCACACAATACCAGGAATCATGGCCCAGCCAAAGTGATACATACTTTTTTGGGGGGACATAATTCAATCCATGACATTCCACACTTTGGTCCCCCCAAAAATCACATTCTTGCAACATGCAAAACATATTCACCCCATCATATCATAGCGAAAGTCTTAACTCCAAGTCTAAAATCCAAAAATTCCTCTTCATCTGCGAAATCTAGAATACAAGTTATCTGCTTCCAAAGGTACAATGGTGGGACAGGCATAAGCTAGACAGTTCCATTACAAATGGGAGAAACTGGAGGGCAAGAAGGGGTAACAGGCACCAAGCAAGTCAGCAGAACACATTACATTAGCCCTCAAGGCTTTGAAAATAATCCTCTGTTCTCTGAGACAATTTACACAATGGCCCTGCCCTCCAGACCCTAGGATATTGGTCACACTCTCCAGATTCTGAGCGGAGGCCTTCCAGGCCCACTGGGACGGCAACTCTGCTCTCCTGGCTGTAGGCGCACCATTCTCCCAGTCCGTCTGAGTGGTGACTCCACCCTTAGAAATACCAGAGGCCATGGCTCCACCCTTAGAAACCCCTGAGGTCATGGCCATACCTTTTGAGACTGAGGCAGCTCAGCTTCTTGTGTCCCTTGTCTCTTCAGCTTCTGCTTCTGTTTCCTGTGGCCTCTTGGCCCTCAGGCCTCACGCCCACATCTCTCCTGCTGGGGCAAGTGTTGAGAAGCTTGGTAGCTCCACTGATAAGTACCCGGAGGCACCCCACTCTACCAGAAAGCCTCCTGTGCACAGGCACTCAGCTCTCTTGCTCTGTGGGTTGGCTCCAGTGCCGTCTCACACTGGTCTCCTGGTTCTGCTGCTGTTGGTTCTCTACCACTGCCTCTCCTCTGTCACTGCAGGTTCTCTGCTGCTGCTGGTCCTCTGCTGCTGCTGGTCCTTTGCTGCTGCCACTGCCATTCACAGTTTCAAAACCGCTTCCACATTTTAGGTATCTGTTACAGCAGTACCCCACTCACTCGGTACCAAATTCTGTCTTAGTCATCTAGTGCTGCTACAACAGAAATACCACAGGTGGATGACTAACAAAGAGAAATTTATTTCTTCAGAGTAAAGTAGGCTAAAAGTCCAAATTCAGGGCATTAGCTTCAGGCAAAGGCTTTCTCTCTCTGTCGGCCTTCTCATCAATGTTTCCCTGGACTAGGAGTTCTCCGCGCAGTGATCCCAGGTCCAAAGGACATGCTCTGCTCCTGGCACTGCTTTCTTGGTGGTATGAAGTCCCCCTGACTCTCTCTGCTCACTTCTCTCTTTTATATCTCAAGAGATTGCCTCAGGACACAATCCAATCTTGTAGACTGAGTCCTGCCTTACTAATACAACTGACACCCATCCTCTCTCATTAACATCATAGAGGCAGGATTTACAACATATAGGAAAATCACACAATACCAGGAATCATAGCTCAGCCAAATTGATACATACATTTTTGGGGGGCCATAATTCAATCCATGACAACCATCCACACAGAAAATGAGGTGAATGGAGCCCCCCTGGAGTTGTGCAATATAGCCACCCTGCTGGTGTCCACAATGACTACAGCAATTGTATGGTATAGGAGGAGTAGTGACGGGGGGTGGGGGGGGAGTCCCTGGGTGGTGCGAACGGTTAACTTGCTTGCTGCTAAATGAAAGGTTGAAGGTTTGAGTCCATCCAGAGGTGCCTCAGAAGTAACGCCTGGTGATCTTCTGAAAAAACTAGCCATTGAAAACTCTATGAGGCACAGTTCTACTCTGACACACTTGGGGTCACCATGGGTCAGAATCGACTCCGTGGCAACTGGTTTGGTTTTTTTAACTATGGGGGAGGGGAGGGTAGAAAGGAGAGAGGAACAGGTGCAACCTCTTTGATTTTGAGAGACAGAGCCGCACAGCAGATGCATCACGGAGTTTGTGACTCTCCCCTTCCAGTCGGGCCCTGAAATCAAATGGATTAGCAGAGGCAAGGATTTCAATAATTACAATGGTAGGCCCCGAGCTGGGTGTGCTATTTTGATACTGTGTGCTGCCCCCACCTCCAAAACTGTCCTTCCCCAGTCTGGGAGCCTAGGATGCACTTATTCATGTGAAAGTGAATAGAAGTATAAAATCTTATTTGGGAGACCGGTATTAGAACAGTTAGACATACAAAAAAGTCAATGATAGAAACTATAGATAGAAGGGCCTAAGGAGTTTATGGAGCAGTCAAAGAAGACTTCCTGGAAAAGGTGGTACTTGGCCACTGCAGGCAGGAGACTGGCATCAACATACGAATGAATATGGTCCATTCTGGAGGAAGAGGGAAGACCAGTCCAAAAGAAAGTTGCTGTACAGCAGTGTTTCCCAGACTTTGATGGGAGTGGTGTTACATTAAGAGAAATCTGGAAAAGCTGGGCAAGATCAGTTTAAAGAGGAGAATAGCTAATAGAATTTGGGTTTACAGTGAGAAAGACTGGTTTTAGGATAGGTAGCACACTAAATGGAGCCCTGGTGGCATGGTGGTTAAGAGCTCGGCTGCTAACCAAAACGTCGGCAGTTCAAATCCACCAGCCGCTCCTTGTAAACCCCATGGGACAGTTCTACCCTGCCCTATAGGGTCACTATGAGTCGGAATCGACTGGATGGCGATGGGTTTTTAGAGCAAACTAAATGGAAAATAATCTACATTTTAAAAAGAAACACTGACAGGTACTGGTTACTTGTTAAATATGATTATATTTCCCCATGAAAGAATTGAGGAAATTGTCTTAAAAGAATAAAGGAATTCTAAAACTTGAAAAATATTATTTGTTGAAAATGAGTTGCTAGAATTCAAAGTCAATAATAATCCTAGCTGCTTGTTATCATGTATATCATTTGTTAGTAGATCCTCCTTTCATCAAGGTGCTTTGCCATTAATCCTCAAAAATACTGGGAAAAAAATCTGCCTTGGTTGATAGAAATAAAAAGGAATAAGAGTGAGGGCAAACTATCAATAGAGAACACAATGATGTATCAACTACCTTAAGATCAATAAATACTGACTGAGAAACAAACATCAAATGAAGAAATTATGTACCTGTTTTATTTTTACTAGTTGATTGTAAGATTTTATAGGCCAGGAGCCCACCATAATGCCTAATGTTTTCAGTCATTCAATCAATAAATATTTACTGACCACTTACTGGTGTGCCAGGCAGCATGCTAGATACTAGGGATACAAGGAGTGAGAACAAGACAGTTCCTGCTGTCTTCATGGCCTGTAAGTATAGCACAGGGATAGATACCCTCAACAGACGTTGTGGATAAGCTAGTATCTTGATCACACTGGGGGCACCACACCAGCACTCACCTAGGAACACCTCCTGATAACTGTGCAGACCATGTACAGAAGGTACAGTATGGCTGTTCATGACCCTGCATTCCTGATCTAGGATTAAATCTCCCCAGTTATCTCAGCTTTTATCTTTGTCATGGCACCTTGCCTCTGACTAGTCATTTACAAGGTAATCATACTTAAGTTCCAGACAGTGGAACTTCTGGACTACTAGTCCCAAAGGAATTATCGAGCAGAATCAGTATTTAGTAGTAAGCAGAATCAGATATGGGGCTTTCATTTCAGAATACACACATACATACACACACGTATATGCACGTATATGGATATATGTGTGTGTGTGTACGTTTTTATCTGGTTAAAAAAATAAAGTGTAACAGGTCATAAACCCACTGCTATCTCAGAACAGGGAAGGCAGGGCTGTGAACTGCTGCGGGATGGGGAATGACAAGAGTTACTGTGCTCTAAGTGGGAGTGAGGGTGGGGAGGCCCCAGCCCTTAGGTAGTACCTCACAGCCAGAGTGGTGAGTAAACAACAGGTGGTAGTCCAGGATAGTAGCTGGCATCAGGATGCCCAACCTGAGGCAATGGCGGAGAAGAGGCCCGATAGATGGGTGGAATGTGGAAGCAGAGAATCTAGCAACAAAGAGCCACAGGCAGACACATGTTGCCACCAGGAGTATCTACCAGTGCACAGCAGAGTCTGTGTTGTAGGGCTGGGACTCAGTCTAGACAACAGGCAGAGAAAATGGAGTTCTGGGCAGGTTAATAGGCCAGGGCTTCAAGCACAAGACAAGGGCTGTGAGTCAGTTCTCAGAAAGAGACCAAGGTCAAGGCTCCCCAAGTAAGTAGCAAGGACAGCAGGAGACTGAAAAAAGTCCCAGGGGCTTGGGACTGGAGCCCTGATAATTCCTCCTGCCTCAGGATGAAGTCCTGGAAAGGACTGGGCTCTATGGTAAAGGTATGGTGGGGGAAGGAGGATTACAGAGGCCATGAACAAGTGATGGCTACTCTGCTACTTATTTACTATGATTAAAAGAGAGTTTACTGAGAGTATTTCCTACTATGATTTATTAATCATAGTAAATAAGTGCTTTGGAGCAAAGAGAAATTAAATTAGGGGAGAATGAGCAAGTTGTTTAGAAGTAAAAATAGAAGGGTAAGTAAAATATTGTACCATTATAAAGAACAAATTCAGATGTTTAAACTTTTGTGCACTAAATTATTATATACGGCCATCTTTTTCTTAAACACAATTTCTTTTTTGGCTTAGTCCTTCTGTACCATGAAGGGGTATTATTAACCAATAAAATTATGTAGTAGTGTAGTGCCTATGCTGAAAGATGCAGCTGTTTCCTCCACTCTTCTAAGCCCTTTTGTCCATTTTATGTTCGGTTTGAAACCAATCTAAAGTATTACTCTATTAAGGGTATATTTCACCAGTCCCTCTTTACTGTGCTCTAACTTATCTCCATGCCTACAAAGACTTAGTGCTGCCTTTTGCCTCATGAAGTCTTTACAACAGAAAAATGATTCTGGATGGATTAACTGGCACTGAACTTGGATCCCTAAAGGCAGAAGTCCCATTTCACTGAAGATACTGTAATCCAGAGCTTCCCTGCCCAACCTTCACCCTTTCTAACACAGTCCATGACACCCCCTAAAACTGGAAGAGTCTTGGTGACACAGTTTAGAAATGCTTAGAGGGAAATTCTATCCTTACCTATCTCATTTATTCTACAAATATTGAGCACCTACAATGTGCCAGGCACTTAGTTGAGAACAAGACTGACAAGGTCTTTGCTCTCATGGAGTTTGCATTCTAGTGGGGCAGAGGGATTCAGACCACAAACAAACAAGGTAATTTCAGATATTAAAGAGTGGTATGAAGCAAATGAAATTGGCTGTGATGGGATGTTAAAATGAGATAGCTGATCTAAGAAGACCTACTTGAGAAGCTGAGACCCATATGAAAAGGTGCTAGTCATATAAAGATCTAATAATTGGGTTACTTCCATTCCAAACTAATACTACATCAGTGGTCACTACCACTCTTGGGATCTATACCTTAAAGTAACTGTGCAAAGGAAAAAGGCCCATTTCCAGTCCAGCCTATTAACCTACTTAAAGGAATACCACCATATTGGAGAATGTTAACTTTGGACCTTGGGGTGTTGCCTTTGAGCTTGGGTGCCAGACCATACGTGCCCAGATGTCTCCTTGGCCTTCCTGGCTGCTTTGTTCATTCAGTGGGCAGGCAAACCGGAGAAACAGGCTGGCATGCATACACATGCCAGGAAGCAGAGAAAGCACCAGGTCCTGCTCAGTTGTCAGAAGGTAGCCTGCTGTGATATGCTCTGGATTTAAACCTAGGCACTAGGTGGGCCTTACCTAAGGAGAGCAAAAGGATGTCAAAGAAAAATTCTCAAAAGACTTGAAAAGTTGATTATTTTGTAGAGAAATGGCCAAAGACATCATGACTGAAACACTGATGCCTCGATTTTGCTTCCATTTCCATGGTAGCATACAACACAAGCCAGGCAACACTGCTTTTGTCCATTTCAGAAACGTGAGGAATTAAAGTTCCAACCCGAGAGTCTTGACTATTTTATAGACTGATTCATATGTCTAAAAATCAAATGAGGCTCTAGAGGCATAGTAACACACTTGCCATGGTTTTCTCTGCCCTGAAACATTGCTTAGCATGTATCAATGAGTTGTTTGGCCGATCAATTTGAAATTTGTCAAGCAAAACTTCACCTTTTCCCCTATAATTAAAGCAGTTTAGTATGTAGGAAACTTGAAAAAGAAAAATGACACATTTTAATTGATGTAAAGAAACTCTTTTATCCTAAATTCTTCTTGCATGGCAAGATACTATAACCAATGACTCTCAAACCTGAGACAGCTAAAGAGCTTAGAACTTCAGCGAAGGAAATAGAACCAAAAAGTAATTTGGAGTTACAGAGGATATCTGAGGTATCTTAAGGACAAAGGTAGGTAAAAGGAGAAAAGGAGGACAGAATAAAAAATGGAAAAACCATTTAAACAAGCCTATTTTGCAATGTTCTAAATCTAAGTATCTCTTTAGGGGAGAATGTGTGTAAAAACAAATACCAGTGTCTGGCACATTCTTATCTTTCCCTTTTTCTCTTTACCCACAGTTTTAAGAGTGATTTTATAAGAAAGACTTTTTTAAAGAAAAGTATATTTTGTCAAGAGCCTTAATTAACGTGATATATTTGTTGAAATACTTACCAAGGAGATTACGGTCACATTTGGTTATTGAAAATAGGTCTATCTCCTCTTTCTTCACATACAGGACACCGGATACTTTTAACAGTATAAACGAGGTAGTGGCAATTATTTACATTTCCCATGAGCCTCCTGAGGGCATACAAGGTCACAAAAGTGAACCAAAGGTAGAGATGGGAGTAGTATTTATAGTCCGCTGACTTCAGTTTTGTTGGGTTAAGGCCGCTCCTTATCTTATGCCTTTGGAATTCTGGGGCTGGTAGAGCACAGGAACCCCGAGCGGGCAGGGCCTGCGAGATCCTCTATAATGAGGAAGTGCTGCTTTACGGCGCAGCCCACCCCGAGACCGTTCACCTCCACCTCCCTAACTGTGCCTTAGCAGGCTGGCAAAGAGCCCAGAAAGAGAAGCTGGAAAGCAGCTGGCTGAATAATAAATGTAAGTGACTGCATTTTTCTTTCCTTTGTCGCAAAGGCCACTACTACGACTACTACCACGACCTGGCAGTTCCCCACCTTGGTGTGGTGTGTGAAGTCGGAGGGATTAGGCTTATTTAACAAACCAGGTGACTGGTGCTCACGGGTATTACGAATGTTAGTCGGAAAAGGGAGTAACACGAAGGAACTCGGGAGCATAGGAGATACCGGTGTCCCCAGCTGCCCGCAGCACACGGTCGTCGTGTCCCCGAGCTTCCGTCACAGCTGCTCCGTCAGGGGCGGCGTCCCAGGCGTCCCCCGACGGTCGCCCAGCGGCGCCTAGGCTGGCAGGTTCCGGAGAGCTCAGGGGCGGCTCGTCTCGGGCGAAGCAAGAAGGCGGCGACGAAGCCCCAGCCACCGCAGCGGTGGTGGAGCTGGTTAGTGAGGAGGGGCTGATGGGGCCAGGTGGGGAGACGCCCCCCACCGCTGCCCGGCGCCCCCTTGCCGGCGGCCAGCCTCCCTCCCCGGCAGCGGGGCGCCCAGCTCCGTGGGCTCTTCGGGAGCTTCCGCCGTGCGCTCGGCTCCTTTCGAGTCGGCGAGGCGGGGCGGGGCCGACGCCCTGGGTTGGGTGCGCGCGCGCGGCGCCGCAGTCTCGCCGAGGTCCGCCCCTCCCCCCACGCGGCCCCCACACCCGCGCCGCGCCCCCGTGCGAGTGTCGGCTGTGGCGGCGGCGGCGGCGGCTGCCGAGATTGGAATCCGCCTGCTGGAGCTGGGTGAAGGAGGAGGGCGGCAGGAAGGCTTGGGCTCCGGCGCGTCCGTCCGCGCGAGACGAGGATCACACGGCCGCGAAAGGGGCGACCGGGCAAGGGGCCGCTGCACGCGAGGGCGAAGGCTGGGCCGGGCCCCCGCTCCGCCCCGGCGGCTCGCCGCGCCTACCCTGCTCCGCGACGAGGGCGGGAGATGAGTTCCCTGGGGTCCGGGTGAGTTGGCTCGTCTGGAGAGTGCGTGTGCGCGCGGGGAGAACCCGGCCGCGGCGGAGGGGACGGCGCGGGGCTGGACGCGAAGTTTCTGAGGGAGCTGGCGCGCGCAGAGGCCCGGGCGGCGACGGCTGGGCCCGGGCGAGGGGGCGGCCCGATCGGTCCGGAGGGCCCCCGCGGCCTCGATTGTTTTGAGTCTGCGCCTCGCTGCGCCCCTTAGGCCGCTGCGCCAATTGGGCCCCGACCCCCACCCCAATTGTCTCCCCCGTCCCCGCCGGAGACCACCGTTCCACCCTAGACTCCTTGGATTTCGTGTCATTCCTGTTCCCGCGGCGTCCCGCCGTCCGGCCCCTCTTTTGTTTCCCACCCCCGGGTTTCAGGCCCGAGTTTGGGAAGGCGGTGTTGGCGAAAGCAGCCTCCAACTACGCGTCTTGAATCCTTAAATGGGAAAGGCGCTCACCTCCCTCGCCCTATAGCTGCGAGGTTGATATTTGTGATTTGCCTCCATACACGTCTGCGAAAAGGAAAAAATAAAAAGTCTGTTTCAGGTGGCTGTAGAACCAGCCCTCAAAACTTGAAAAGGGGAAAGTACCAGGTCTTTCGGAGGTCTCTGTTCACCTGTTGTCTTTCCCTGCCGTGCCTGTTGTGATTCTGCACTTCAGTTTCTGAAAACTTTTCTGCAGAATTGAGTGTAACCTTTTTGTTTTTCCAGACTCCTAGTGGAAAGGTTTGGCAAGAGAAAAAGTTAGCTTGCGTCAGGGAAGAAAAATAATGTGCCATGTGTTCGGGTCTGGCTTTTTGGGACTCGCACTCTTTGGTGCTCTCAGATGTTTTAATTTGGTCAGAATGCTGCGGTTTTTCCTCTTAAACGGTTAAACTGTTTTGAGTACATAGAATGAACTTGGCACATTGACCTATGTTACGTCATTTAATCCTTACGATAAATTCTGGTTATTGTTTTCTACATTTTTAAGAGGAGGAATCCAAGACTCAGAAGGTTAAATAATTTTCCTGAGTGAGCTGGGATTTGAACCCAGGGTATTCCCTACTATTCGGGAACTGTTAAAGAGAGGCATACGATGAGTTTAAAAACTTTCGGCAAACACTTCCACGTTTGGGAGCATTTTTCAGGTACTCATACTTGAAATGACGCTATTTTGTTGCTTGAGTTGAAAACAACTCCTTTACTGTGTTTACTTGTAAGAGTAGTTAAGAAACTCTGAATTAAAGTAGAATGTTAATGTTTATCATCGTTTTCAGTTTTTGAAATAAAAAGTTTATGAACCAGAATTACTTAAATACTAAATTTAAAGCCAAAATATAGGCAGTTCTCAGATATAGGAATGGGTTGAGTTAATGACAGGGAGCCGTAGTGGCGCAGTGGTTAAGCACTCGGCTGCTAACCGGAAGGTTGGCAGTTCAAGCCCACCAGTTGCTCCGAGGAAGAAAGATGTGGCAGTCTGTTTCCGTAAAGATTACAGCCTTGGACCACCCCTATGGGGCAGTTCTTCTCTGCCCTGTGGGTTCGCTGGAAGTTGGAATCTGCTCGACAACAATGGGTTTGCTTTGTTTTTTGGTTTGGTTGAGTTAATGAAAGGCTGATTGAAATTTAGGATGCATTTTAATAGAACCAGTGTTCTATTCCTGTTTGACACCAACCCCCCAGTGGTCTTCATGGAACTCTTTTCAGACCTTTTCTACTTTACTCACTTCTCCCAACCCTTTACTGAAAAAGAACTTACTGGATTCCATCATCTGCTTCTTCCCTTCCATTCCAGAGAAAGAATATTTTTTGTCCTTATTACTTGGTTAACACCTTACTTGTTTTGTTATTTTCTCTTTTTCTACTTAATGGGGCGTGAATTATCCCCTCTATTGTCTAGAGTTCTTAAAAGTACCAATGTGTTTAAGATTTCCTTAATTTAAAGCCTTACCTTGAGTCCGCTGTTCTCTCAAGCTGTCTTATTGCTGCTTTTCCTTTTCAAATTTGGAAAATTAAAAAAAATTTTCTTATAAAAGAAATAGTGCTCGTTAAAGAAAAATTGCAAAATTGAAATAAAATTAAAATTCAGTTATTAATCCCACCTCTGGAGATTACCACTGTTAACCAGACTTCTTAAAAGAGTAGTCTCCTTTTCCTACCTTTACTTAATGGCCGCCCATTCACTTCTTAACCCCTTGTTATCTGGATTTCATCTTCACAGATCTGTTGAAACCAGTTATTTGAAGATTGTCTGTAACCTAATCAACACATTCAAACACCTTTTGTAAGTTCTCTCATTGAGTTTTCTGTATTACCTCACATTTTTAAAATGCCTTTCTCTGGCTTTCATTCATCTATACATTTCATTCAGCGAATACTTGCTGTATTCCAAAACACTGTGCAAAGCAATAGGATGAAACAAGAGATATGATCCTTACCCTGATGGTTTTCTTGGGGGAGACATATTTAAGAATGAATTATATAATGGTGATTATAATTGAAGTGCAGAACTTAAAATGGGGGCCTGATATGGTGCTGGTGGTACTGGGAGAATCTGGGAAGGCCTCCTTGAAAATGTTACCTTGGAACCTGGGACAATTCTGAAGGATGATTAAGAACTAACTAGGTGAAAAGGGGGATTTCTGTGGCATTATCAGTGTTTGGCTCAGTCCATTTTTTGCCTTTTCTTCCTACCTGCTCAATGTGTGTTCTCCGAGTTTCAGTTTTCAGATCACTTTCTGTTTGTCTCTAGGTCCTTGACATTATTATTCAGACCCTTCCATATGAATAAATCTCAAATCTCTATTCTTTATTTCTGTTTTGTACTTGAATCTTGTTTTCCCAACTGTTTTATGCATATCTCTGCCTGACTGTTCTTGATCAAACTGAAATCCGCTTCCGTACCAAACGTGGTTCTCTGGTGTCCCTTATTTCTGTTGATATCATACCAAATCAAACCTTTCTCTATTCTGTGACATCTTGTCAGTAATCAACGTTTGTTGATTCTTTTTTTATGATATTATAATGCTTTTCCTCTCTCTTCTGCTTACTCTGGTATAGTTCTTAGTAAGTGTTGAGATCAAGGTTATAATTGACTCATAAAATGAGTTGAGCAGCTTTCCTTCTTTTTCTCTCCTTAGGAGCAGTTTAGACTAGGATTAGCTGTTTCTTGAAAGTTTGGCAGACCTCACCTAGAAGACCATTTGGGCCTAAATCTTTTTTTTCTGGAGAGGACTTTGAATACTATTTCAATTTATTCAATTGTTACTGGTTTACGTAGATTTTCTATTTCTTATGTCAATTTTGTGTTTCATATTTTTCCAGAAAATTGTTTATTGAGTTTTCAAATTTAGTACTATTTGATTTTCACATTTTTTTCTTTAAAATTTCTGCTCTATTTGTTTATTTTCCCTTTTTCAGTACTTTCTCCCCCCCCCCAACTTTGAGTCAGCTTCTCATCCTACGTGGACTAATATTATGATTTTCTTCCTTTCACTTTTTCCTTTATCCAGTTTATCTGATGCAGTTGTTCCTAAATTCTTTTTTTTTAAATGGTGGTAAATACGTGTGTAACAAAACATTTGCCATTTCAACATTCCGTACATGTACAGTTCATTGACATTAATTGTATTCAGCATGCTGTGCAACTATTGCTATATCCCTGTCCAAATTTTTCCATCCCTCTTTAGAGAAGCTCGTGGAGCCCTCATGGTGAAGTGATTAAAAGGTCAGCTGCTAACCAAAAGGCCAGCAGTTCGAATCCACCAGCTGCTCCTTGGAAACCCTATGGGGTAGTTCTGCTCTGTGCTATAGGATCACTACGAGTCGGAATCCACTCGGCGGCAACTGGTGTTTTTTTTTTTTTCTTTCTTTTTTCAAAGAAGCTCGGTATCCCCTAAGCAGCGAGTCCCTTTCCCCCTCCGCCTGCCTGTCCCTGGTAACCACTAATGAACTTAGGTATGTACACTTTCCTGTACTAGATATTCATATGTTGTTGTTAGTTGCCCTTGAGTTGATTCTGACACCTAGCCACCCCATATGCGCAGAGTAGAATTGCCTTAC